CGGTGCCCGGCTGGTGGGCTGCCGCTTGGTGCAGCCCGCGACGCGTGCCCTCGGGGGGGCTGGTCCAGACAGCGAGCTAGCCGTGGGAAGGGAGACGGGAGCTCTGTGAAAGGCGCGCAGCCGCGTGGTTCGTGATGGGGAGGAACTGCGTAAATGCCCCAGATCCAAGCTGGAGTAGATGAGGAAGGCTTTAGGAAATATGAAAATCTTACAAATTCCAGCAGAGCTGTTGGAACAGTCGGCTGGTGACAATACATACGTGGTCAGTACACATTACACTGCTGGAGGAACACAGGCCACCAAGAACTTACAGTGAGCTAGATGTGCAAAGTATGAAACGTCAAAGGCACTTGTGCCACCTTTTTTTACACATTGACTGTGTGTACAGTGTGTTACACTATACACAGTGTGTATACTATATACCATACACTATGACTGTGTTAGTTACTGTCACACACAAAAATAAGCTTTCAAATCTGCTTGCTCTGTTGCTTTCTCTAAAACAATATATGGTGATGAGGGGAAAAAGGAAAAGATACTTTTCTGCATAGTGACAGTGTTAGTTTACCTACCAAAGGCAGGCAGTATGAATCAAGCTCAAAAGTGAAGATAAAAATCTTGTGAAGTAGTTGCAGTTGAGTACAAGACATTTACGCCTGAAAATTGTTTGCCAATAAAAATTATCAAAAAAGAATACAAATAAATTAGTAATTGGAAATACCAACCTGGCTGTCTATATGCTAGATGAATGAAAATGCTGTAATAACACCAGGAGGTTTTTAATTACTGAAGTAGCCCTTACAAACTGCAGTCAGCTGTTAATTTCCTGAAAGAGTATGCAGACACAGCATGTGCTGATTGTTGCTGCTTTGTTGTTTTATCAAAGGTACCGTGCTTAGTCTGTTTTATTTCAGGAAATGTGCAGAGCTTTTTAGAATGCTTCCTCTGTAACACAAAGTGTATTGTACTGAGTATAATAATCTCCAAAGATAAATGAGTTACAAGGATAAAGTATCATGTTTTATGTAACTATAATCACACTCCATTTAATCGTTATAATTGTGTTCTTTACAGAAGAGTCTACAGCTGTAGAGAAAAAGAGGAAGCCTCTTACAAGACTGAATATTCATTCTGCATTCTGGATTTTGGCATCAATTTCTGTGACATACTACTTTGATTTTTTAAAAACTGTTAAAGAAACTATTCAAGCAGATAAGTAAGGCACCTTTTCTTACAAAGTTGTGGGTTTATCTTACATATTCAATTTGTTATTTCTGAACACTGTTTTAAAACTTGGATAAACAAACTCTACAGTAGGAGTCTAGAGAGCTGGGACTGTGCAGCCTGGAAAAGAAAAGCCTCAGGGGTATCTTATCAATGTACGTGAACACCTGAAGGAAGGATGCAAAGAAGACAGATCCAGGATCTTTCCAGTGGTGCCCAGTGACAGGGCCAGAGGCAGTGGACACAAACTGAAACATGGAGTGTTCCCTCTGAACATCAGGAAACACTTTTTCACTGTGAGAATGACTGAGCCCTGGCATAAGTTGTCCAGGGAGGTCATGGTGTCTCCATGCATGGAGATACTCAAAAGCCATCTTGATATTATCCTGGGCAACTGGCTCTAACTGACCCTGCCTGAGCATGGAGGTTGGACCAGATAACCACCTAAGCTGTTAGTATTAAAACAAATTTTTAAGTAAATATAATGCTTAACATTTTGCAGTAATTATTTTTTTTCTTTAGGCTCTAGTGGGCTGTCTGTGTACATGCAAAACTTGTTCTAATAGTAAGATGTTTTAATACTGTACCTTCAAGCTTACACTTAAGTATGAGAAGTCTCTGCCTGTTTGGTTGAAAGTGTTGAGGTTTTTTTTAATCAAAAAAAGCTGAAATTAATATCTGTCAAAGTGAAGTTTATTACTCTAGAAGTTCTCTAGACTTCAAGTAGATCTATGAAAGACTAGTGAAATAATTTCTCTGAAGTAATTTCTATTAAGTTATTTTCAATGGGATTGATGGGTATTGAATATTTTTAGATAGGTTCACTTGGAAGTGCTTTTAAAACTCATTGTTACTGTCATTTTTGTATCAGTATGTGGAAGCTGAACAGGGCCTTACTCTGTGCTGTGAGGTTCTCTGGAGCTACTCTTCCATGCTGCTATAGATTCACCCTACATCCAGTTGGCTCTGGATACCAACAAGGGACTCCAATACGTGATCAAAGTTTTGGGTGGTCCTATCTGCTCCTTACAGGACACTGACTTCTTGCATTGCTTAGGCAGACTATGGAAACTGGTCTCTTAATGCAGATTTCTTAATTGGTAGTACTGAAGTAACAAACTAGCACATGGTACTTGCTGTACCATGCCAGAGCGAGTGGTACCGGAGTAGGGAGATCCTTGATTACTCCTTGTAATTTAGTAATCAAACTATGGTAATGAGAATTTACTTTTAAACATTTTTATTTACTAAATACACATTGAGATTAGTATAAGATTTTATTAAAGTGCACCTTCCTCCCAAGTTGTCTTTCTCATCTTACTCTTGAAGCATGCCCTCAAAGAGGCTCAAAAGTGTGTTTTCCTAAGTGATCTCATACCCTGTGTTTTCTTGATTCTGAGTTTGAAAAGCTGGATTTCTCTATGGTTTTCTTCAGCTGCTCAAGGAAGATCTTCATGGTTCTTGTCTGTTGAATTTGTAAACGTGACACCTTGTTAAAGCTTCCTGCAACTTTTCTTTTGCACAAATACCTGTATTCCAATTTATAGTAAGAAGCACAGTCTAGGAGACTTGGAGGATAGGAGACAGGAGTATGGCAGTATGGATTGCTGACAAGATCTGTTGCATTGCATTTCCAAAATATTTGAGGGGAAGAAGAAGTGACATGAATGTTGCATTGCAAAATTTAACTCAGTTAGTTATGTATGACAGCTTCAGAAGGTCAAAAAGTGTTTTGTATAAATAATTTCAGAAAAAAAAACCAAACAAACCAAACTACAGGAACTCTAGGCCAATGTGTATAACTAACAGATATCGTCTGTTCTGTTTCTAGACTAGAAGGAAGATTACTGTGCTTAACGTGCTTTAACGTGCTTCCCCCCACAGCTGGTGGTTTGTCTCTGGCTGTTGTTTACTGGCTGCCTGTTTATCTGTTGCCTTTTACTGCATCCTGTACCTGGAGTGGTATTGTGGAATTGAGGACTACGACGCACAGTACCCAGCACTGATTCCTATCACAACAGCTACCTTCATTGCAGCGGCTGCTTGGTAAGTCTGAACGCTGTTCAAACACAAACTTCTGTTAAGTCTGTGCTAGTCTAACTGTGTTAAGTGGGTTCATTTTATTAAAAGTACAATGTCTCTAATTCTGCTAAGTGTATTGGTGACAGTACCAGTTCTGCATAACTTTTCTTCCTCTTTAAATATTCACCAACAGAGCCATAGACGCAGCTTTCAAAACTGTGTATTAAGTGTACTCCTAGATGTGCCAGATCTTTTGTGTCTTGAAAATTTATGGGAAAACTGAAGTCCTTAACTTTGTGTAGTGTAAATTGCTCACTTCTGACAACTGTTTGTGAAGCTACAAACTAAGACAAAGGTGTATTCTCTAGCTGAGAAAAAATTATGCTTGATCAGTTTCTAATACAGAGTTTTTAACTGGCAATCTATAAATAGCAAATGTGTACTGAGATTTATCCTTCTGACTATTGTTATGTGAGCTTCAAGGGTTTATATCTTGTCAGAGAATGGTACTTACCATAAGAGCTACTTCATGAGATGACAGGAGTCAGAATTGAGCAAATGTCCATGTGAATGAAAAAAATTACACGTGTGCCAGTATGTTTATTTGCTCTCCACATGAAAGTTGGTTCTGCCTATAATTCAGATGTTGTAGCTGAATAACATCAGCCAGTAGTTGTTGCAATGCTGGGAAAAAAAAGGAAGACTGAAGAAGATAAAGTTTCCCTATAGTTAAGAATTAGTCAAATCTTTAATCCTTGTAATTCAGTTGTAAAATAAGTTAGTTTTCCCCTTTTCTCTTCAGTTAACTCAGATCTGCTTGGCCGGAACTACAAATTAAGGCTTTTCTCAGTTTCCAAGTGTGCCCATGGAAAAATCAAGAGGCCTTAATTTTCAGGTGCTTCATACACAGAGATTCTGAAAGTAAAAGGTATCTTTACCCTCGATGGGTAAAGTGGACTTGGTCAGTGTAAAATCTGCAGCAGCTACTGAGGTTCTAGGATGAGCTGTCAGTAAATAAAAGGAAACTAAATTACCAAGTTAATAAGTAGGTGCTGGGGTCTTTTTGTTTTGTTTTCATAAAGAAACAAGTCTTTTTCCAGGTTGAATAATTTAAATCTCATTTCCTTTTGTGCTGTATTCCGTGTGTGTGGCTGGTATTTTCACAGTATAACTACTGAACTTATCAAAAACTTCCTGCTTTTATTCCCAGTTTCAACATTGCCTTGTGGCCTGTCTGGTCATTTATGACACCTTTGTTGCTCTTCATTCAATTTATGGGTGTTGTGATGCTTGTGTCGCTTCTGGGATAAGTCCTTCAGGTAAATAATTTAATTGTTTAAGCATATAAAAATATTTACCTTGTTGCATGAACTGCTTTGCTAGACATTTAAGGATTGTGAGACCATTTTGGGATTCCTTCTCTGTGTTTTGTGTACACTTTAAAAATACTGACATTTTGTGGCATATAGAGTAACAAGAAAACGTGCATGTGTCCTAAATGGAAGAATACCCTTTTTCTCTTAACTAAGATTCCATTCTAGACAGTGAAGAGAAACTATTAGTGAGAATGGATAGTTTTGGGGAGTACAGGCCAAATACCTGCAGCTTGTGCCTGGACTAAGAAAATTTCTTAATGAAGATACTTCCCCCGACAGTAAAAGGCAGAAGCTGTTAACAAACATCCACACACAAGTGTCTTCTCCATTCTTTTTTAAAAACAATTTCTTTGTCTTATCTTTAGTTGTGTCAGTTTCATTTTCTGTGATGAAAGTCCAGATCAACCTATCTGGAAGACTGCCAGCTATCAAAAGGTCTTCATTCTTCCTAAAACAACCTTTCAAAGACAAAATGAGATATTGACTTGAAAAGTTAACTCTCAGTAACTGTCATGTTGAAAAGGAGTTCTTGCAACTTTTCTTAAGTTGTGCTTCACTTAGGTGAATCTTGTGAAATTGAAAAAGATTAAGAAAGATATCAAAGACCTCTCAGTAAACAGGGTAAGCTATGTCCCCTGTATATCACAGGCATCTACGTCATCCAGTGACATGACACAGGAGGTCTTGTTTGCTGTACTTCTCAAAGGAATGTGGGGAAGCCTGTGTGGTTTTGCTTGTCATCACAAATCTTTTCCAGTGAGGAAGTCCACCAGCATTTTTATGAGTGCAGCAAGAAGAATGAGACAGTGCTGGATTTTGAGTGTAGCGTCTTGTAGTGTCAGAGTTGTAGGCAAAAAAAAAATTGATGTCTGGGACAGTGAAATACACCTTTTGTTTGCATGTACAAAGTGAGACTAGTGTTGCATTTTTTTTCCTCATGTTTTCTAGACATAGAGAAACCTGATTTTTTAAGGAGGTAATTAAGGAGGATTTTTTAAGGAGGTAATTTGGTCATTCTCTGACAACACTTAAAACTTCTGGAAACTACAAGTTACTTCAGAATCCCTTTACTGTATTAGGGGAAGTTCAGTCACATTGGTTAATGCAGACTTCTTCAAATCATTTTAGTTTGTTGTGTCATTAGGTATGTTCTGTCAGAGCACTAGAAGGATCTCAGGAAAGGAGGCATTTCAGTGTGGTAGAGCTGTCATGTTAACAGACTAAAACAACCATTCTGCATGAGTTTGTACTTGGAAAAGAAGCACAAGTGAATTACAGATGTGCTGAACAGATGAATCTTATGAATATGTTCTGCTTTTCTGTATGAACAGCCAAGTAAATTCTATTGTACAGAATATATTAATTCCCTGTTAGGCTAAATAATTATTGGCCTAATAATTAGGGCTAAATTATTACGTGGTGTTGCAAAATCATTAACTAATCAATATTGAATTAGTACAAGATACAGCTACTGCAGTATATACAACCTTGGAGCGTTTATTTATTAAACTTGGGGTTGTGTTTTCTTTTCTTTCAGTTTCATGTGAAGGACTCAAGTAACTGTTATCCAGGAAAGTGGATGTCACACTTACTACATTCCAGTACTTTTATTATTTCTAATACTGTTTTTTTGCTTTAACTGGTACAGTTATTCTTAGACTCCCTGATTTATAGATCAGATGGACATAACCGTATGTTGGCCAATGGCTGGGGAAAAAGCAACTCATTAGTGACTAATTGAAGGATAGGTTTTACCTCTCTTAGTAACGTAAAGCACTTCATCACTGCTTTGTAGAGAAGCTTTTATTCGTATTTCAACATCAAGCAAATGGATAATAAGTCAGTAATATAGTCCTAAACTATTTGGGGCCTTGAGAGATCACCTAGTCCAAATTCATGCTCAAAGCAGGTTGCTTGGTTTGAAAATAATTCATACTTAATTCAAGTGTTGTGGGGGTTTAATACTATATTCTCCACAGGCAGATAAAATATTTTTTCTGGAATGTCATAGATGACACAGGAGACCTTTCTTGATCTATTAAATTTCTATCGTTATGTGTGTTGCCATGTAGGAAATATATTATTACCTAATCACTTCAAATCTGCTATTGTTTGAAAAAAGATGCAGACTGGGGCAAGGGCCTAGAAAGCTGGTTGATGTTCATGTCATTGATAATTTCTCAGTGCCATCAGTGAAATAAATAGATTCTACTTGTGCTGATACAGTTTGCCCACAGCCAAAGATGGATGATCAAGCTGTGAATAACCAGCAACGTAATGAACAACATTAACACTACACAAGAAGTTAAGAGCACGAAGTAAATTCTTTTAATGGATGCACTATTTTTAAGCATTCAGCGTATTTTTCTTCTGTTAATTAATTTTTAATTCTTAGCAGTGCCTGTTAATGAAGTCATTGTTTTTCTTCATCAACAATAAAGAGGCTGATATTAACTTAAAAGCTATTAGTCATACACAGTTGGGAAAATACAGTAACATTGACTGTTCACCCTGGGTAAGCTACTTTAGAGTCTGGACTCTCTCTGGTTGCTAGACCATTTTATATAGAACCTTGTGTTAAATACTTTCACACCCACACCTGTTGGAGGATAGGAGAATGTAGAAGCTGGGTGTTGAAACTTGTTAATATTTACTTCTTGTGGTTGTTGCTTGAAGTCTAGACTCTTAGAGGAGAGTGTGCTTCATTCTGACTTTCAAATTGACACCATTGCTCAATACACAATACAGGAAATGTTTGTTAATGAAAAAGACATTGTTTTAAGCTGCTACTGTTTCATTAATGGAAAAAGCTGCTGTTTGTATGAAATACAAAGAATTGGTCAAAACCAAAATAAAATACATTTAGCACTACAGTTAAGTAGCTTGTAGAGTAAGTTTACATTTAAACAAATCAAGCTGTTACACTGAAGTTTTCCAACACCAGTTGTGCTTCACCTATTTAAAGGGCAAGTTGCTTATCTTCAGGTCTTCATCTTTTAACAAATTTTAACAATTTTACATCTGCATACACAGGTACATTTGAGGAACTTTGTTCATTATGATATTTAAAATGCAGTGTTGCTCAGGGATGGTAAATATCACTATATTTTTATTTGTCGACTATATAAATGCTCTAAGTGTTTTAAGTTGCCTTGTACTCTTGAATTAAAATTACTATTTGCTACATGGTTTTTCACACTTATTTTTCTGGACATCTTAATAAACTTTGTATAAAAGTGATCAGTTATTGTTCAGTACTTAATTGTTTAACTGTCTAATTCCACTGTTCTTGTGGACTGCCAGCCCATCATTTTGCCTATAGAATAGGTATTTCTGTAGACGTTAAATACTGTACTTGACTAGGAGTATGTTTGTCTTTTCATGACCTCTCAGCTAAGGTTATTGAAGGTGTAATTCCATTCTGTTCACCTTTGGAGCTGTTTGCCCTCTGACTACCTTGATGTCTGTTTCTGAAAATCCCAGGTAGATATGCTCATTGTACAAAAGTCCTGCAAAGTCTCTCAGTAACAGTAATGAGTACCCAGTGCAATACTCATTCACTTACACAAAGGGAAATAGTGGCAAATCTAAGACTTTAAAACAATGTTTGCCATAATTAGCAACCTGACAAAATGCTGCTGCCACTTCCAGTTCTGCAAACTCTTTGCTTTTGTTATTTTCCTTAGCACCAAATAAAGGACTTACAGTAAGAGAATAGAAGGAGGTATCTTAATGTTTTCTGAATGCATTTATTAGGCAGCCAAATAAGCTCGGTAAAATGAAAGCATTTTCCTCAATTATTCTTTAAATGTTACATTACATAAGATAAAAGTAGGACTGGGCATTTCCATAAGCTTCTGATAATGGTAGCTCTGAGCTAGAGGTGGTTGAAGCCTTAACTGTTTGACTAGTTGTGCTTTTTATTGGTACTGCTGTTATGGGCCAGACAGAAACATAGGGCCAGCTTTCAGTTACTTGTGTTTTTTGAAGGGAAAATTTGTAGATGGCTTAAAATACCTGTTTCTTGAGAACAGGCCAAAATCAAGGACACAACCTACTCCTTCCTTATGCTTACCTAAATGTGTGCTTGTCCATAATTCACTCATTCCACCCTTCTACCATTTTGTTTTTCTTCCCTGTTCTTTGCGAGGAATGCGAACCTCAGAAATTTACATTTAAGTTCAGGAATGTCCTTTGTTATTTAAGAAAAAAACCCTCTTTTCATAATCAATGGCTTCAGAAGAGAAAAAGCTTAAAACCTCTCTAAGTTTTGCCGATGGAAGTGGAGTAAAACAGCTGCTGTCTTTTAATTTTTTTTTTTTTTATGTAGCTGAATTAGTATCCTAACTTCATGTAAGACATAGGTCACTCACTGTAAAAAACAGTGATTTGGATATTTGATACGCTACCACCAGATAGAGGGTAAAAATGTAAGACCTGCCTGGCCAGAACATGGACCAGTCTATCTTGGTATTTGGTCTCCAAGCTATGTCTGAGTACGTGAATACCTAGAATTAAACCAATTTGTACTGTACGCAAACAAAATACTATTTAAGATATTCAGCGTTTTACACTGGGCTAAATTCCTCTCAACCCCTATAAGCGGCCAACAGGTGCCCCAAATCTTAAGGTTTGCATACCTTACTATCTCATGGTACAGTAATACTCTTGCCAAAATGGGACACACTGAAGAAGAAAAGATAAATTGCTGCCTTTGGGAGGTCTACAAAATTCCTGAGCACGTTGGTTATTTACGCCCAACGGAAATACCAGTTGGCAGAAAGCGGGACTGTGGGTCGCAGGGCCCGGGAGTGCCCCAGCGCCGGCTGCCTGGGGCTGCCGGGCCG